AATGGCGCATATGATGACCTATATTATTTGTAATATTATACGGGGTGATATACAGGCCGTTACAAATTCGCTTTTCACTACTGGGATCTCGGAGAGATTACGAAGTAGCTTTAATGGGAGCAAAGTTGCTTAATCAGGTGACCAACATTATGCTTCTAAAAAAATCAAGGCTAACATGATTAGATTTCGAAATATTAGAAAAAAAAAACGAAATTTACGAAAATTCGTTTTTGATTCATATCAGCCTTGTTTGAGGTGATATTGAAAAAACTTTCTCATAGCAACTTTTTGTCCTCTATCGAATGGCATAATCAGTTTTTATATGTAATGTTTGGTTTTTCTAAATACGACCCTGGTAAGTTTTTAAAACTGGTAATTTTTTGTTTCATAACCAGTGTCATACTAAATATACACACCGAATTTGGTTAAATTATCACCGGAGGTTTAGAAATTAAAAATTAAAAACTGATATTTTTTAAATTATCAGTTGTGTCCTAAGACAAAAAAAACCTTATTTTTGGCCACAGAGACGTCTCTTTTTGACCTCTACTTAAGAAACACCCTGTATAATAATATATAACATAATATTAAATATATTTGGATATTGTTAACTGCAATTAAAGTAAAATTGTATACCTGCCAACGGAAAATGTCTGGCTAACAGTATCAAACATCTTTGCATGATCTACAAAAGTACATACATCTAAATACTAATCATTCGGAATCAGTAAAAACAAAATTATCTTAATTATGCACCTTTAATTTAATACACAGACTGATAAATACATAATAAATTAAAGTTTCCCCTGTATATTATATACAAGAAACATAACTATTACAGTAAAAACTAAGACTTATTTCACTTAGAATGTCACGAAATTACTTACCATATTACAAATACCTTCTCATACACCGATAAACTGAAAAAGAAAATAAATATTCACCATTTGTTTTTTTTTTTTTTCAGTCTACCATTCTGCTGTCATATTGTACAACTAAGGTTTAAAGTAAAGTCAACCCGCAAACTATTGGTCGACGAAATGAATCGTACGTCGCAATCTCTGCCAAAGATGCGCTTTCATACAATTCTACAATGTATATTTTCATTTCATGCGTATCATTTGCGGTTTAATTTTGTTTCTGCTGAATGTAGTTTTAGATTAATTTAAGATGTGTAGCACTGATTCAGCTAATGAAGTGGTTCAATAAGAAAAAACTAGTAAAAACATACGGTATTTTTTTTCAGAATTTAATAACCTTTTAATAGTATCGGTTTTAATTTGCCTAAATGGGTGTGTACATTTATGAGGATGCCATAGATACATGCAATTGTTTACTTCTTTGGAATATATAGTAGGGTAACCGTCTTATGCTTCATTTAAACTAGGTCAGTCAGTTCATTGACATGAAATTCATAAACTAAATACTGTGGTTTAAAAAAATAGTAAATACATTTTAATAAAATCTTGAAATGACTAAAAAAGACTTAAAATTTATCAGATTAGCAACATTTTTTTATTTTAAATACGTCTTATAAGATAATCTAGGAATATATCCACATTTCATAAGAGACAAACATTATTTAGAAAATAACACAGTACCACAAAAAAATATATAATTTTATATTGGAAAATTTTATATAGTGCCCATAAAACGGTTATCCACCTCATAACCACCTCTAGAACGTAACGTGTTTTCTTATATATTCATTCAAACAAATAAAAATGTGAATCAAATAAAACACACATTCAGTGGGCTTTATCCTAGACCTAACAAAATTTATGCTCTGGTGTAATTATAATAATGACTAATTATAGCAATCAGCCTTTTTCTACAGGGTCGGAAAGTACCGATAGTCTATCTGCCGTTATGTGAGAGCGATAAAGTAAGTCATAGAAATCTGTGCGATAGAGAAAGATGACTATAATGAAGGCGTCTAATAGTCACCGCCCAATTCGTCCTTCCACAAATAAGATCCACTTCTTATTTGTGGAAGGGCAAAACGGGCGGTGACTAAGAGACGCTTTCATTATAGCCATCCTTCTCTATCGCATGGATTTCTATGTCTTACTGTATCGCTCTCACGTAACGGCAGATGGACCATCGGTACTTTCCGAACCTGTATATTCAACTTCATTAGTAATTTTCATGTTCATTATGTTTTCAAAGAAACCATCTATAGTTTCAAGGTCAGATGCCTCTTCCTTGTCACTTAAAGGTATGTAAAGAAAACTCGTCACTAGCAAAACTGCATGTAAGGAATATTTCTGCCAGTGTCTTCTCAAGGTAGAATAAGGGAACAGTTCTTCTGGGTCACATCCTAGGTCTTTTAGAAATATAGAGAAGCTGGTGTAGTAGGTATTCAATAACTCATCAAAATGTCTCAGTTGTTGTTCTAAGCAGGTACTGTAGATGAACAATGGCAAGTCCAATACTGGAGAATACAGTCGTGATGCTTGCCAGTCTATGATAGCAACTTTTTATGGAATTTTGCGGTCTTTATCCTAAACAAAAAGAAATTTATACAATAAGTACTCTACCAACCAGTAAATAGTTTGCAATATTTACTTTTCTAATAGGCATGTTGCTACAAATGGGACTATAAACATTGATCCTAAATAATGATTTACCTCGTATTTATATAAGACATTGTTATTCCAACAGTCCCCATGAAGAATAGCTGACTCAGGTTCCACACTTTTTAGAATTTCAATCATGGTAACGTCAGCACCCTTTTGTAATAATGTATTGCACATTTCGTACAAGTTCGTATATCCCATACTCTTCACAATATCACATACGTTTTCAAAACATTTATTCATTGTCTTTCTAAAGGATTCATTAAATACATCTAAAGCAACATCGTTAAAGTTACGAGTTAACTTTTCAATACCGTCCTTATTTTTACTTCTCAATGCAAAGGAAATTGCATGAAATTTGCCATATTCTCTTAGAACAAGCTTAAGATGGTGAATTTCCAGTGGCTTTTTATGGTCATATAAGACGTAACCACTTTTGCCAAAAGTTTTCCATAACGATAACTTCCATACCTTGATCTGATAGTTTTGTAATAATTCGGAACAGAGTTAAATATATCCTTCGTGCTATTTTGTTTCTGAAATTTAGTAAATTCTGGCAAGTGGCAAAATAGTTTTGCACAAATTCCTCTCATATATAATCCGGTTAGTTTGAAAGAGACCTTTCTTGCTGCTCTTAACAACTACTTCAACGGTTTTCTTCACATTTCCTTCTGTAGTAGCCAAAACTGTAGCGAAAGTAATATTTGCCATATATCCATCGGATTTTTCGGAGGATCCGGTTATTGTAATTTCGCAAATGCGAAAATTTTGTTCTTCTAGGGCTCTTTCTATATATTTTTTTATTTCAAGATCAACTTCCATGTTCAAGCTTAAATAACTTTGAACTTCACGTATCTATTCTGTAAATGAAAATCGTGAACACAAACTAGCATTCAAGCACTTAGCAGTCGCAGAATTAAAAGATCAAGGTTGCAGTTTTTACTATACAGGGTGTTTCTAAAATAGGGTTCCAAACTTCTGCTGCGTTTATAACTCACTAAAATAAGCCAAAAAGTTCCTATTAACATGTGCCCTAAAACGAATCCTTAGGAAGTTATATGCCCTTAAAGGGGCTCAAACAAAACTTTTTTTTTCTGTTATTGACAAAACGGTCGCAAATAAATAGAAAAAAATGTATGGGTCTTACATAACTTTTTACGTTAAATAGCATGGGCTACTCCGTTTTTCGACATGCAAATCATATGCGTCCCATTTAGGTTGGTGAAGAAGCCCGTAATTTTTTTATTTCAATTTTTTACAATTTTCTCTACAGATTTATAAAATCTTAACAATTTTACGTAAAAAATATTATCTTTGTCCAAATCGATATTTCCAATGGTTTTCGAGTAAATTGAGTTTGAATATTACTCTGCTCTTTAAGTTATTAGGCCAAAAATTACAAAAATTTGTTTACCATGGCAAATAAAAGACTGACGTTGCCACAACGCTTAACAATTTAAGTTAAACTGTCAATTGAGCTTTGCAGTGTTTAATTAGTAAAAGTGGTGAGTGGAAAATTTAAGTAAGTATACAACATTATTGCAACTCATAAAATGGGGTCATATTCAAACACGAAAATGGCAGATATGCACTTTATGTACGGCCGTGCGGCTGGAAATGTATCAGAAGCGAGGCGTCTGTATGCGGCAGCATACCCGAATAGAAGACTTCCTTCTCGACAGTATTTTTATTGTGCTGTGTTTTTTCAAAAGGATGTTAAAGAATGTTATTATGTAACACAATGATACCAAACATTAAATAAGAATATATTGAGATGTATGGAATTTGCTGCACGCTCAGTAGAATAAGTGGTGTTTAGGAATGTACAAAACTTCGCAAATTGTAACTATAATTATATGAATTGAAAATATAATTGAGATAATAAAGGAATAGATTCCAACAGTGACACGGTAGAATGTCATTGTAACATGCCAATATGAGAGGGGTTCAATTGAAAGGAGAAAGATTTTGACAATAAATTAAAAATCAACACATGAAATAAAAAATTAAAGTATAGAAGAGTTAAAGAGAATATTAAGAAAATTTAATACAGTAATTAACAATCTGCTTACACTCGAAAGATAGGTTAGGTTTACTTTTACGTACAAACTTATTAAGAAAAAAGATACTAGACTTCTATCTAACTTTTTATCTTGAGCTTAGATTATTCCCGAAATCTTATGGGGATATAAAGATCAATATTGACTTTTTGTATAGGGATTAGCGTAAGCCTGATCAGTTATCGGGCTGGTTCTTCGGTCGGTTTAAACTTTTGATGTTTCAAGAAACATATCGCTGCCTTCTTCAGAAAGAACTAGAACTCTGAAATTAATAACTTTAAAAGATGTTTGTAATTTTGGAAGACACTCTAAAAAATATTAAATTTTATGTAGGTATTATTTTCCTATCAATAAAACTAAATATAGATTTAGCACAATTTATTATTTGTTGTAATTATAATAATGACTGATCACAGCGACCAGTCTTCTTCGATATTCTGCTTCATCTGTAATGTTCACGTTCATTATTGCTGCACCTAAATCTTCTACATCATTAAACTCTGGCACCTCTTCCTTGTCACATATAGTTACGTGAAGAAAGCTGGTCGTTAGTAACACTCCATGTAAGGAATATTTCTTCCAATGCCTTCGTAGGGTACAAAAAGGGAATAGTTTTTCTGGATCACATCCCAAGTCTTTTAAAAATACAGAAAAACTGGAGTAGTAGGTATCCAATAACTCATCAAAATGTCGCAGTTGTTCTTCTGAGCAGGTACTATAGATGAAGTACGACAAGTCCAATACTGGAGAATGTAGTTTTGAAATTTGCCAATCTAGGATAGCAACCTTTGATGGAATTTTGCGGTCTGTGTCCTAAAAATAAAAAAATTTGCATGTGTTCAATATATGGCAACATGGCTTTTATAACGGATTGGTTAAAAGTATGTGTGAAACGTGTGTTTTTAAAAATCGCTTGAGTGCAAGCAAATTTTCATGAATATAGAACTATGTATATAGGAAAAAGTTGCCGATATTGACTTTTAAATTATACCATCTCCATTAACAAAACAATTTACTGCTGGACTAGTGGCTAGTGATAACGGAGTAAGTCAATTGCAGTTACCTGGTGATACTAGTCAAGGGTTTCAACCTCTCGATGTGGTCGTATTTAAATAGTTAGGAACATATTTTAACCAGGTCATTAAGAAAACGGTGAGAGAGTATCCAGGACTGGCAGTAACACAATTTCAGATAGCCTAACTACTCGGAAAGGCTTATGGAAAGGTGGCATCCCCAGCAAAATGGATACACAAATGTGAAATACAGCGATACCTAATATGGTTTTTTATCTCGATACTCCGAGTAATGGTTAAAGTAGAAATTCAAGAGCATGAGACTCTTAGGGTCGTGGGTTCGTGGCCCACGTTGGGCGCCATTTGTTACCTTTAAAATTATAGGAGAGGTGATTAATTTGTGCCTTTATTTTCTCACAAAAAAAAAGTCAAGGAAAATCACTCTCCGATGTAGATGCTCGAGATTCGCGCTGTTTTTCTTCTACGTAGTGCAACAAAAAAAAAATGCTTAAAGAGCCCTTTACTTCGCAACAACACATTTAATTATTAAAGAAATGATGAGGGAAAAGACACTGACTAGCTCAGTGTCATATTCATATTCATAACATATTCCCCTAACGGAATTATTATTGGCAGCCAAAAAGTTATATAATACACCATAAATTCACTTTAAAACAAACAACAAACATAATACTGTTACAAATATTGGAAAAAAAACAAATCTACAAATGTCAGTATAATCTAACAGGGATTATTACAAATGGGTGAAAATTCGCATCTTATTTAAAAAAAAAGAAATGCACACCTTTATAACTCATCAAGTCATGTTTCTGAATACATTGCCAAGCAAAATAATTCAGTAATGATGTAAGAGAAATACGTTTGAAAATTGTTATTAATAAAAATGTTTCTCGTAAATTTAATACTCAAGTAAGTACTTAGCTGACTTTAGGTGTTTATGGCGAGTTTCCTGTTTCCTCTGTAATAGAACGAGGCGGGGTGGTACTTCAAAATGTCGTTGGGCTGAAACTTCCGGTCAGATCTCCGGCTGCTCAACACGTGGCTGAGAAAACAAGGAAGAGGGAGCTTTCAAAACTTCTCTTGCTCCAACAAAGAAAATAGAGACAACTATAGTTCCACAGAACTCCGACAATGTTCCTCTGTCGCAGGTGTTCAGAATAATGATACCAAAAATTTTTGTGTTTCTTGGACTTTTACCTACTGGTATATTCGACACAAAAAACTCAAGAGATATAAAAGAATTGGTTGAAATGAATCTGTACAAATGACTTTTTTGATATTTGAAATCTTTGAACATCAATAATTAGTTTTAGCTTGATTTACTATTGATTTTTTTGTTTATTTTGACTAGAGAAATCAAACTTGAAAGTGTGTCGCATGTCAGCGACAGTAGGGATTCCAATATCTTTTCACTAAGATCGCGTGTAGGCAAATAAATATCTAATAATTACAAATTAAAGTCTTTTGTGTAGAATTATTTATATAATTTGCATATTTATTACCATCTCAAGTACGATGGTTTTCTTGAGTTATGGCCTTAGCTAGGAATCTTTGACATGTTCTTGTTGTTTTCGGGCTAGGTTCAGTGGGGGCAGACACCCTATCCCCGTTATCAGAAACCCTAGACCCGCTCTAATGTAATACTTCGATATAGTCGCGATGGGGCTTTCTCAGAGTCTTTGCTGAAGATGCAACAGTGAAGAACGGCATAACGTTTGGGAGCATTGGATGCGCACTACCACTACGAAGCGTCTCAAACGACCACCATTGTCTTAGGAGCGATTCCGTCCATAGCGGCTTTAGAACCAGCTACAAGACCAAATTAACATCAGGGCGGCTCTAGAGTTTCTGATGGTAGGTCCATCCCAAGAAAAACAAGTTACAATCATGACTAAACAACACGTTGTTAAAAATATAATTATAAAAATAGTTCCTAAATACTGTTTACCTCATATTTATATAAGAAATTGTTATTCCAACAGTCTCCATGAAGGATAGCTGACTCCGGTTCCACGGTTTTCAAGATGTCAATCATAGTAACGTCAGCACCCTTTTGCAGTATCTCATTGCACATTTCGTATAACTTTGTGTATCCCATACTCTTCACGATATCACAGGTTCTTTTCAAACACCGATTAATTGAATTTTTGAAGGATTCAGTAAAAAAGTCTAAGGTAACATCGTCAAAGTTATTGACTAAGTTTTCAAAATCAACTTTACTTTTAGTTTTTAACGCAAAAGAAATGGCGTGAAATTTGCCATATTCTCTTAGTACACACCTAAGATGGTGAATATCCAGTGGTTTTTTGCGATTATACAAATAGTATCCATTTTTTCTCAAGTTTTCCATAACGATAACTTCCATACTTTCATCTGACACAGTTTTGTAACACTTCGGAACAGAGTTAAATCTGTGCTTTATGTTATTTTTCTTTTGAAATCTAGCGAATGCAGGCAAAATTATTTTGTAGAAATATGCTTCTCTCTCATATGCATTTCTGTTAGTTTGAAGGAAGTCTCTCCTGCTGCTCTTAACAACTACCTCAATAGTCTTCTCGACATCTTCCTCTGTAGTAGCCAAAACTGTAGCGAAAGTAATATCTGAAGCATACCCATCAGATTTTTCGCCGGATCCGACTAATGTAATTTTATAAGTTCGAAAATTTTGATCTTCTAAAGCCGTCTTTATATACTTTTTTATATCCATATTGCAATCCATGCCCACGCGTAGACAATATTGATAAATTTTTCTCGTATGTGTGAATAAATGAAAATCAGAGAACACAAGCACTAAACTGATAAAAACGAAATAAATTATCAAGGTTCAATTTTTGCTATATATAGGTAAACCACTACATGTGTATTCCCTATCACAGCGAATGCAATGTTACGCCATAGAATGAAATGTGAATAAATACAAGTTTTAACAAAGAAAAATCGTAATTATTTATTCTGCTACCCTTGGTATCGAAATTTTCACTCTTTTATAACAGAAAACATTTTTTATTTTCCAAGTTTTTGTAAAAAAACTGGCAACTAAAGTATAACTTCAATGTCGTTTAAATATAGCAGAGATAACGCAGATAAACCAAAACAAATTTATAAAAATTTCCATTAACTTATTTAGATTTAAGACAGATAAGATAAATTATTATCATTATTCATTAGTATACCGGGTAGGAAAGTACCGATGGTCTATCTGAAGTTACGTGAGAGCGATAAAGTAAGCCATAGAAATCCATGCGATAGAGAAGGATGGCTATAATGAAGGCGTCTCATAGTCACCGCCCGTTTCGCCCTTCCACAAATAAGATCCACTTCCTATTTGTGGAAGGGCGAAATGGGCGGTGACTATTAGACGCCTTCGCTATACCCATCCTTGTCTATCACATGGATTTCTATGGCTTACTTTATCGCTCTCACGTAACTTCAGATACAGGGTCGGAAGGGCCCCATGGTTCATCGGTCGTTTCGTGAAAGCGACAAAGAAAGTCATAGAAATCCGTGCGATAGAGAAAGATGGCTATAATGTAGGCGTCTAATAGTCACCGCCCATTTCGCCCTTCCCCATATAAGATCCACTTCTTATTACAGATTACAGATTACGAATGAAAATATTAATACGTTTACAGAAAATATGTTGCAACATAGTATTATTACCAAAGAGCAAAGCTAAGTAGAGAATAAAATACCTATGTATATAAATTTAAATGACACCACTGACCCGATAAACCTTAGTGTTAAGACAAGGCTTCCGTGGCATATTGGAAGGAGTTAAAACATATTACTACGTGCTTTTCTAAGTTTTTTTTAGTGAAACGGCGACGTTTATCACTTAATATTAACTTGTGTAGGGAAAATGACCGTTCAACGTCTACAATGGAAAATGGACAATGAGAAATTGTTGAGGCATAATATATTTGCTGGTATATAATATGTAAAGTTTTCCAAAATGTGTATCCTGGATTTTTTTCCAACTTAAAAAAACTTTTCACATGTAAGAAATCCATAAGAAGCCATTTTTCTCGAAAACCAAGCATTATATTTAAAAATAGTAAGCGACCTTTTTGCTGTAGAATAAATCGCAATGTAAAAAATATATTAGGTTTGCGTAAAAATTATATTAAAAATAGGGGTTATCAGAGCCCCTTACGGACGCCTATAATTGACCTATTTTCACAATAATTTGTAAAATCGATAAAGCTTTTCATTCATACACTTCATACTAAATATAAAACAAATGGCTTTCATTGTTTAAGAAAAAATAAATAAAGAACCAAAAAAAAAAGTTTTTGCAAGAGCTTATATCTTTAAAAGGAAGCCTTTGGAAGAAAAAGTGTATATTTCAAAATGACATTATTTTGACGAGATCTATCGATGGTTAAATCATAAAATGTGAATCACCCTGTATAATTTGGAACGACAATGTAGAGTAGGTAGGTACTCATAATATTGAGATAAATTAGCGCACATGGATGTGGCGTCATCGAAATATGTCCGGCATTTTGAGGTCTGAAAAAAGTAAGTTAGTTAATGAAAATAAGGGTGGTTTTAAGGGCCGACCCGTGTTCGAAAATTTGGAAAATTTATTTCCTATTGCATAAAATAATTAGCTTTCCACTCATCTTAAAGTGTCTGGCAGTTGATGCAAAAATAGACATTAATAAGTACCTAACAATTTTCAAACGCCAGACGGTTTTAAATAGCCGAAAGGGTGGTTCATAGGGGAGAGATTGCAAGAAAAAAAATTCATCATTTACTTTTTGTCTGGCAATCGAAACAATGAAATTTTTTTTTGAAAATGATAAAAATAAATTGCCTGACGGTTTCTAATGTTCGGAGGCGAGTATCTCTGTAGAAAATTAGGTGAAAATTTTTAACATTTTTCAGTGATCTTAATGTACAAAAAATAGGGCCATTGTGTTTGCGGTTTTATAAAATGTTATTCATTTTTCAATGCCAGACAAATTGGTCGGTTAGAAAATTTATAACTAAATAAAGAAGGCTTGGAAAAATTTATAAAAATTTCAATAATTTATCTTTGTCTGGCATTTTGCATTTCAATTAGAAATGCGCGTATAAACACAACATACAAATGCCAGACAAGTTGAGCTGTTCGAAAATGTATAAATGAATTAAAAACGAAAACTTGGTTTTCTTTTTTTTTCTAATTTAAACTATTTATTTTTGTCTGGCATTTTGAATTTCTACTGAAAATACATATTTATACTTCAGGTTAAAACGCCAGACAAGTTGGGTTGTTCGAAAATTAAAAAAAAAAAATTATTAAATTAAATAGTTGCCCTTTTTTGTCTGGCAATTCGTTTTTTAATAAAAAATACATTTACAAACTCAAATTAAAAATGCCAGACAAGTTGGGTTGTTCGAAAATATATAAATAAATAAACAAAGTTGTAAAAAAATACAATATATCATTTTTTTCCGACTTTTTCCCTTTATATTATAAGCTGTAATTACTCGGAAAACATACTCAAGGTACTATTTCCGACGTAAAATTTCCTACTGAATCTAATGCTGTCGACGGAAGTGACTTACCTTGCTAAGAAAATCTGGAAAATAGGAAAAAGCTCCGTAAATTTAAAAAATTTACGTTTTGAATCATATTTGAATTAAGAAATACAATTGCAGAAAATCTTATTCAAAACATGAACCTCAAATAAATAAAAAGTGCTTATTACAAGATGTTAATATAATTGAAAATACAATTACGAACTCAAATTAAAATTGTCAGACTAGTTGGGTTCTTTGCAAATGTATAAATAAATAAAAGATTAATATAATTATACGAGTATTTCTAAATGAAGTTCAAAATGAAAGACAAAAATAAACCATTTAAACTTTAATATAAATATTTTCTACGAATTTTCTTTTGTCTGGCACAATTTTTCCATTTTCCAATTTGTCTGGCAAATTTTTTGTGACAAGAAATATGGGTATTAATTTTAAGTACCCGAGGTACCAGAGAAATAGTGATCATTGAAAAATGTTAAAAATGTTCACATAGAAACTCGACTGCGAACATTGGAAACCGTCTGGCAATTTATTTTTATCATTTTCATAACAAAAATTTTCATTGTTCCGATTGCCAGACAAAAAGTAAACGATGAATTTTTTTTTCTTCTCGCAAGTTCACCTCTATAAACCACCCTTTCGGCTGTTTAAAACCGTCTGGCATTTGAAAATTGTTTGGTACTTATTAATGTCTATTTTTGCATCAACTGCCAGACACTAAGATGAGTGAAAAACTAATTATTTTATGCAAAAGGAAATTAATTTTTCAAATCTTCGAACACGGATCGGTCCTTAAAACGACCCTTATTTTTATGAACTAATTTACCTTTTTTAGACAGACATGCCAGACATTTTTCGATGACGCCACACCTATGTGCGCTAGCTCACGGTCTAATACCAATTTGTTATCATTGCAAAGATATATATTTTATTGTCAGAATACCTGGAAAATATTAATCTTTAATTTAATTAAAAGAATGTTGTGTGATAACGTGATTAATAAATAGTGATCCTCAATTTAAAAAAAAATAGTAATACTTATTCAGAAAGATCATGCAAGTAAAAATATTAGTTATTTGATTTTTATTCTATATTAGATATATTTCTGTTCACTTTTGTCACATGGCTAAACTTACTACCTTACATTTACTTCAGTTTTAAAAACATTACATATTTTTATCTACTTTTATTTATTTTTATTTTTTTTTTCATTAAATATAAAAGCAGCATTTTCAGTGTAGAAGATATATATGTTTCTACAAAAGACAGTTAAAAAATAGTTTTGTACTGGGAAATATAAATTGGATAGTGGTCAAGGTGTAGGGGCCAAAAAAAGTACTACTCTATATATTATTATGTATATAATAATTACCTATTGTGTACAAAAAATATATTACATAATATAAAGACGTGTACCAAATAAAAAGTGTCAATAATCTCTAATAGTTTAAGAAAGATACTAAAAAATGTTGTTTCGTGATTCAGGGGATACATCCTAGTGTGTCTTGATTTTTGTATATTTGCAAGTGGATTTAAATCGTCTTATCCTGAGTACAAGCGGTGTTCTAACTCTTCTGAGATACCTCGTACATCGGTAGAAAGACTTGCATTTCCAACACAAGATTAAATACTTTTCTTATTCTTTCGTGGATAATTTGTTTACTTACGAACAAAACGGTATTTTCATCTTTTGGTGCAAAATATATTACTTGATATATTATGCGTTAGATCAACTAGGAGTATCATTTAGTTTAGATACAATAACACTTTATACTTAGTAATTGTATATATTATTTTCGTATTAATAAAAGTAAATATAAAATAAATTAATAAAATCTATGTCCAAGTGTAATTATAATAATGACTAATTATAGCGATCAACCTTTTTCTATATTCAACTTCATTAGTAATTTTCATGTTCATTATGTTTTCACAGAAACCATCTAGAGTTTCCAGCTCTGGTGCTTCTTCCTTTTCACATATAGGTATGTGAAGAAAACTGGTCACTAGTAAAAATGCCTGTAAGGAATATTTCTGCCAGTGCCTTACCAAGGCAGAGTAAGGGAATAGCTTTTCTGGATCGCATCCCAATTCTCTTAGGAACATAGAAAAGCTGGTGTGGTAGGTATCTAATAACTCATCAAAATGTCTCAGTTGTTCTTCTGAGCAGGTACTGTAGATGAAGAATGACAAGTCCAATACTGGAGAATGCAGTCGTGACGCTTGCCAATCAATGATAGCAACCTTTGATGGAATTTTGCGGTCTGTATCCTAAATAGAAAGAAATTCGTACAATAATTAATAACTTGTTTAAGAAGTAAATATGTAAATGTTTTATTATAAATTTTATATACAGTGTAGGAAAGTACCGATGGTCTATCAGAAGTTACGTGAGAGCGATAAAGTAAGCCATAGAAATCCATGTGATAGACAAGGATGGCTATAATGAAGGCGTCGAATTAGTCAACGCCCATTTCGCCCTTCCACAAATAAGATCCACTTCTTATTTGTGGAAACGATTCTTTAAATGCATCTAAAGTAACGTCTTCAAAGTTACTAGTTAATTTTTCAAAATTATCTTTACTTTTTCTTCTCAATGCAAAGGAAATAGCATGAAATTTGCCATATTCTCTTAGAACAAGCTTAAGATGGTGAATATCCAGTGGCTTTTTACGGTCATATAAGTCGTACCCATGTTTTTTCAAATTTTCCATAACGATAACTTCCATACTCCCATCTGATATAGTTTTGTAACACTTCGGAACAGAGTTAAATATGTTCTTTACGTTATTTTGTTTCTGAAATCTAGTAAATTCTGGCAAAATAGTTTTGTAGAAGTATGTTTCTCTCTCGTATACATTCCGGTTAGTTTGAACGAAGTCTTTCTTGCTGCTCTTAACAACTACTTCAATAGTTTTCGTGATGTTTTCGTTTGTAGCAGCCAAAACCGTAGCGAAAGTAATGTTTGAAGCATATCCATCAGATATTTCGGAAGATCCGGTTAGTGTAATTTCACATATGCGAAAACTTTGTTCTTCTAGGGCTCTTTCTATATATTTTTTTATTTGAAGATCAACTTCCATTTTCGTAAAGAATTTTGAACTTCCGGTATCTATTCTACAGATGAAAATCCGTGAGCACGAGCACCCAAGCACTTAGTAGTCGCACAAATAAAAGATCAAGGTTGCTGTTTTTACTATATGTACATATATACGCGTATATAGATAAGTAACTACTGCATCATATACTATGACTCGTGAAAATTAAAGTGGTTATATTTCGATGTCATTGTCATATACTCCCTTATGTAACGAGTATACGCTATAAAAGAAATAGAATACATGCATTCTTGGAAACAGTTGCTCATATTTTGTTATCCTTAGTATAACTTCGCATTCATAACGAAAATTTTTTTTTAGCTTTTCTTAAATACCTATTTTATAAGTAAATAAATATCGATGTCTTGAGTTTGAATCGAGCACTGTTGAATTTTATGTGTAACTCAAATAGAGAGTTATTTTCTATATATTGAATTCTGGTTATTGAATATCCCCCCTCGTTTTTTCAGTATCATTACTATGTTAAAATGGGCGAAAAATAATACCTACTATTAAATAATACATATTACTGGTAATTACAAAATATTAAGTAGGGCTATATACTTATTTATTGTTTTTTTACTTTATTTCTTTTACAAGATAAATAGTTTTCAGAGAAATGATTAAACTAAGTACCAATTTTCACCTGATGAAAGATACCTATAATCGAATTACAACTTTGAAATAAAAATAAAAAAATAAAAAAGTAAAAATATTATAAAAATTAAACTGAAATGGCTGCACAAGAATCATGTTGTTGTTTCCTACTGTAGTATAACAACCCTAGGTTCGACAAAAAATAAGTAAACGTAGTTGTGGCCAAAAATATGTGATCGTCATAAGGAATCCCTACGTTGTGTATATCGATTTTTAATTGACCGGAAGGCGCTGGTTACTAACTTTGTAGAGGGGATGTATGGTTTAATTATATAAAACAAAAGCAGAGTAAATACACCCAACCTTCATCCACATACAATTCAAATCAAACATGTGACAAATAGAAAGACCAACAAAAACACCAACAACCATTCAACACCAAATGAGAGTGCCAGGCCCACCCAGAGCTCCCGTGGGGAAAGAGCACGGCAGAGAAACCCACGATCGTTGCTCTTACCACCCAAATACAAATACAAAACAACCGCTAACCAAAGGAATAAATTAAGATCCTTTGCTAATGATAATTAAAACTGGACTTATTTAATTTCTCACTAAATGTCATCTCACTCAAGTATGACATACACACTTCCAAGTAAAACTGAATAGGTTTTAGTAACAATAATAGCAACAACAACAACAAGAATAATAATAATAGCAGTCCCATAATACGGGAGGCTATCCAGCTAAAGTTGAAATTTCGGGAGAACAACAACAATAATAACAATAATAATAATCATGGGTGAAAATGTTAGCAAATTCAACAAAGCTCCTACATACGCATGACACAAAGTGAGCACAAGAAATCAAAGAACAACGTAATCAAGATAAAACAAGTTAAATGTGAAACAAAGAAGTTGTCTTGCAATATCTGGGCAGACACGACAATATATACATATTTCAACATGTAATAAATAAAGTGCAGTCGTTAATAATAATTGTAACAATTTTATATTAGGAAAATATACGCCCCTAAGCGTATATAACAATGAAGGCTAAACATACACAGAATTATTATCATGAAACATCTAGGTTTTTCGAACAACGTTATCATGACAAAAACAAGTTAGATGTGAAACAAAGAAGTCCTTATGGTAAAGTCGGGGCGCCCACGACGATATACATATTTTAACATGAAATAAATAATGAGCAATCGTTAATAATAAGTATAACAATTTTACCTTAGAAAAATATATGCCCTTGAGTATAAAGCAATGGAAGCTAAACATACAAAGAATTATTATCATGAAACATATATAAACATCACAATCATAAGATTTCATAGAACAATTAACAACAAAGTACTTAAAGAATATTACCTGCTAACTAATAACACTTTAAACAATTAACTTTTCACTACTTTGACACACTGCCCGCCGATCGTCTTGCTACCTCTCTGCACTGTTCTCACTTCAACTGCCTATCTTCAACTATTTAGGCTTCCTTCCAGAATTTCCTACCTAAGTGCTTGTTTTTTGTGCTTCCTTCTACCGACCGTTAATATTACTTTTTCACTATTATACAACACCCATGTAACAGGTGACGTCGAAGTTGGTAAGATAAGTACGGTTTTGCACACTACTCACCACGACAAAATGACACCATTGGTCACAAAGTAGTAGCGCTTAACCTGAGTAATTTGGTTCGACTTGAAATTAAATCTGGTAGTAGGAGCCAAGTAATTTTATTTCAAGTACCTACACAATCAATTACTTTTTTAGGATCACTTAATTTTCCCTTATTATATATATATAGAAATGACAGTCGCCCTTATAAAAAATGTTCATATCTATAGAACTAAATCCTGAATTTTAATTCCAATATACAAAAAACAATTGAAGTAAAAATTAATAAAATTACAATAAATTATATTAACATATTAATCTCATGCACGGTCACATGAGACTTCTAATGGAACAGACTCTTTTAGTATGACGTCACATATTTAGGCAACCCGCAACAAATTGTCATAGTTGAAATTGTACAATCGAATCTGACTCTTATTTACTACATATTTACATAGATATAAATTAACAATTTGAAATTAAATTATTTTTACAAGAATTTAGAAGTATTTAAGAACAGCCAACACGTGTTTCGTAAAATAGATACACTAATGTGCTTAAAACTTACAAAAAACAATATAAAAGGAATATTCTTAAATTTAAGTATAAAGTAAAAATTTTACAATAGCCGTGTTATTATGCGCATGCTCGGGAAGAATAGTTTCATATGCAGGTGAGATCTTGTAGATTTGTCATCGTTATCATCATTAGTGTATTTTCTCTTTTTTTGTTTAATCTTGGCATTTTCTAGTTCTAGCATGTATGTTTTATTGTTTTTCTTGGTGCTCTGCTGTGTTAGTCTGTTTATCGAGTGGTTTTTTATAGACGTACTCTTAACCTTAACCAAACTTTTCTTGAATGGTATTCTGTTGCGCGGCTACTTCGCTTACATGAAATTATCTTTAATGGGCATGCCCAGTAACACTGATATAATTTTAATTTATTAATTACTATAAATGTCAATATTCTATAAATTTAAAAATATAAATTCTATAATTCTTTTAGTTTGTCACTTGGGGTTTGAAACTTCTTAAATATTTCTAATATTGCATGAATATCGCGATATTTAAGGTCATGACAAGGAAGACAAGTTTTTGTCACTACTAAAAAAGTCTATTGCTGCTTAATAGGTTATGAGTAATAGAATATCTTAAATTTGGCAAAAGATAATAAAAAAGTTAGGGATTGAAATACATAATTGATATAAGGAACTGTATATTAGTATGTGGCTTCTAGGCTATCTTATTGTCTCTTGGATTATCATAGTTGGGTGCTACTGATTGGCTAATGTCGTGGTTCTTTAAGTTAAGGTAAAAGGTACTGTTATTACACAGGTTCACAAAAAAAATGTCTGCCCCGCAAAGCAGACCATCGTATTCCTGCATATTTCCGATCACTGAATATAAACCTAACCTCTGTTTTGCAGAGCCAAGCAAATAGTGCAAATTAGGTATTTCATGGACCCTTCATACAAACTCTATGACCTTGAAGTCCCCTAACCTCAACCCCGATAACGTCATTACCCTACAACTACATAACACCATAAACCCGAAAATCCGAGTGTGAAAGTAAGATGAAACCTTTAACGGAATTCACAATGAACTCAACCATCAGGCCAATAATCTCATAACCCTATGAAATTGGGAATGCAGTGAACAGAGCAAAGGAATTTCTCCAAGAATCCCATAACCCCATAACTATGAGACTGGGAATGCTCTGAACAGGTTTATATTCCTTCGTCCTGGTATGGTCACTGCATTTCCAGACTCATAGGGTTCTGGTGTTCTTGAGTTTCTGAGATTGTAGTGATTTCTGACTGCAGCTATTCTAGAAGGGTGGGATAATATGCCTGATTGATCGATAATTTGATTCAAGGGATGCCAAGTAGAGGTTAGTCAATTGATTGAAAGAAGAGACGATCATACAGACATGTTTTTGACGTAAAAAATTTTTTCTCAAAATAAAAATTTTTTAATTTCAATATTTTGCAGCTTTTGCGTAATATGCTTTATCCATTCGTAAGCGGGAAAATTACAAAGTTTTTGTATCACATATTTTAATAACAAAACAAAAAATAAGATCCATCACATTTTTAAAATTTAAGTTGATTATTTCCAAAAATATGTGGGGAGGCTAAGAATTTTGGAGATGTGTTTACTTGAGTCCTGTTTCCAAGGTTATTAAGGTTAATCATCCTTACATATGAGATCATTTGAATTAATTCACTCTGTTTACTCCATTCCCAGTTTCATAAGGTTATGGGATTATTGGGGTCCTGAGGTTATGTAACGGATAACGTGGATACTGAGTTCCCCATTCCTAGGTTTTGGAACCCATCAAGATTTTCATTAGATACAAGCCTCTTCGTATTCTCAGGTTTACATTGTGGCAAGGGGGTTGAGGTTTGGGGTTTTCAAGGTTATAGAGGCATATAAAAATAGGCATATAAAAGGCATATATAGAAAGGCATATAAAATACTTAGTTCTACTATTCGTAGTCGAGTGGTTTGGCGTTAAATGAGTGTGAGACCCTGGGATGCACTAGAGGGGGTTTTCAAAATATGTATATAAATTAACGATTTACGCAAAATCCTGACATATAAGGTTAAATCAGAGGTCAGATTCAGTTCAAAGGCCGAAAATATGTAGAAATAACACGGTTTGCTTTATGGTGCAGGCAACATTTTTTGTGTGGGCCTGTGTTATTTATCACTATCAGTTGACAAATGCACAATAAATGTATATTTAATATCTTGGAAAACTTAT